CGGGGGGTCCTCCCGGGGGGGGCAAACGCCCCCGGGGGGGGGGGGGGGGGGGCCACCTCCTCCCCAAGGATGCGTTGGTGGGGCTGGATGAGCAGCAGGGATCCAGATCGCAGACCAAGGGGCTGGGACACTGCCGTGGGCCATGGGGAAGGGGTGAGGGGGGCCAGAGCATCACCCCCCCAACATGGGTCCCCCAGCCCAGCGCCTGCCCCAGCAAGCAAGGCACGCTGTGCTTCGTGGACCTGGCCGGCAGCGAGCGGGTAAAGGAGACCGGCTCCAGCGGGGAGCTCTCTGTGGAGGCCAACAGCATCAACCGCAGCCTCCTGGCACTGGGTAAGAGTTGGGGGACCCTGCCATGGGAGCACGAGCTGCTGGTCCCTGTCAGAGCCCTGTTGCACCCTCTGTGGCTCATCCTCTGGCAGGACACTGCATCTCTCTGTTGGCCAAACCCCGAGGGAAGCGGACGCATATCCCCTACCGGGACAGCAAGCTCACCCAGCTGCTGGCCCGCTCCCTGGGCGGCTCGGGCGTCACCCTGATGGTACGTGCAGGGAGGAGGCTGGGCAGGGGTACGTGGAGCCACGGGGGGGGGCAGGGTCTCACCCCGTGGAAGGGAAGGCTGGAGGGGGACGGGTGACCCCCGGCTGGCAGCCCCCCTGCGGCTCTTCCTCGTTGGCAGGTCGCCTGCATCTCCCCGTCCTCGCGCTGCCTCTCGGAGACGCTGAGCACGCTGCACTACGCCAGCCGGGCCCGGAGGGTCACCACCAGGCCCCTGGCCAACAGGGTACAGCAGGCAGGGGCTGCGGGCAGGGTGCTCTGCCCCGCTGCTGGGACCCCCCCCGAGCCACCCCTTGTGCTCGCAGGCATCCCGGGAGAAGCTGCTGCGAACCTTGGAGGAAGAAATCCATGCCCTGCAGCTGGAAAACCTCTCCCTGCGCCAGCAGCTGTGCCTGCCCAGGGTGCCGACAAGGAGTGCAGAGGTCTCAGGGACCCCCCCGAGGGCGGGGGCATGGCCGGGCTGGGGAGGCAGGTATGGCCCTGCAGGGCTGCATCACTCCCCTCTTGAAGGGCAGCTCCCATCGGAGGGAGCCCCGGCCTGGCCCAGCCTCTACGGCCTCCTGCGGGACTTCGTGGTGGAGAACGAGCAGCTGAGGTACGGGGGGGGGACGCGCAGGACCCATGAGCAGGGGCTCAAGGGGCTGGTGGGGCAGCCAGAGACCCTGGCTGGACAGCACCCTGCGTCAGCCAGCCTCTCCTAGGGACTCCCGGGGGCCAGGCAGGGCTCGGACGTTCGCCTGAGGCTGCCAATGCCCTGCCCTGCTCCCTCACTGCTCCCCAGGCAGCCCCGGCTGTCCCCAGACCCCAGTGGTGATGTCCCAGCTGGCCCATCCTGCAGAGCCACCCGCAGCTCCTGTGACACCCAGCCCCCGCTCCGGAGTGCCCGCAGCCCTCACGTCCCCCCTGGCCACCCCGCGAGGCTCCGGCAGCCTGATGTGACAGCCACCTCCGGCCCCCGGCTGCCGGTGAGTGTGGGGGGCCCAGGGCTCTGCGGGCATCCTCGTGTGGGGCTGCACCCGCAGCAGGGTGAGGATGCACGAGCTGCTCACCCGCTGCCATCCCCTCTTGCAGAAGCTGCGTCCTGCCTCCAGCCGCCCTGGCTGCCCCCAGTGCTGCCCCGCGCCAGCCGATGCCATCGTGTCCCAGGTACGGCCCCAGGTGTCTCTTCGGAGGGGGTGGCACAGCAGCCTGACTGCTCTCCTCACTCCCCAGGCACTGCTAGGGCCCCCCGCACTGCAGCTGGTCCCCGCCGAGGGAAGCACCGGCGTCCTGCCACCTGGCCAGGAGGACATGGCTCTGCCCGGCTCCCATCAGCTCCTCGGGCACCCCCAGCCGCAGCAGGGGAAGCGGTGAGAGCCAGGGCCCGAGGCCACCCCCCTGGGCATCAGCTGCAGCTCAGGAAGCCCCTGGGATTACAAGGGGGTGGCGGGGCAGGGTTTGTTCATGTGTCCTCACGCCAGGAGCCAGGGCAGGAGCAGGAGCTCGTCTCAGCGGCACCTGCTCACCCGGGCGCTGCCGGGCCCCGAGCGCTGTGCCAGTCCTGAGGGAAGGGTCATCCCTTCGGCACCACCCTGGCCGGGATTGCGGGAGCCGAGAGGTGAGCAGGGCGACTGGGGGGACACTGGGCAGTGCCTCAGATGTGGTCCCTTGGGGTGGGGCACCCGTTCCGAGCACAGCCACTCATGCATGGTGCTGTGGAGCTGATGCTGGGGACACTGGAGACCTGACCCCGCTGGCTCCCGGCTGGCAGCCGCCGGCGCCGTCCCTCTCCTCCAGTGGGAAGAGGCACCGGACTGGCTGGGGGAGCAGATCTGAGCAGCTGCAGCCACAGCCGCGCCGTGGACGGGGCCAGCAGCGGGGATCTGGCACAGCCCACGCACAGTTATTGTACTGGGGGGACAACCACAGCCCTTGGGGCACAGGGATCTCGGACTGCAAGGACTGTGCAGACCATGGGATGGATGGACAGACAGACAGATAGGGCTCCCCAGCCTGCACAGCACTCACAGTTTATTTCTGTCTAGCTAGGGGCTGTGCTGCCGGGTGGCTCGGGGGCCCCCCCTCAGGTGCTCTCCTCCTCGGGCTGCGGGCAGCCCAGCCAGTACTGGGCGATGGAGCGCGGGTAGCGGGGCTGCACCAGGTCCACGCGCTTGGTGCGCAGGTTGACGCGGTAGTACTTGTCTGTGAGGAAGGGGAGATGGCTGTCAGGACTGCCCATGGAGCAGAGCTGCGGGGAGCTGCCAGCCCTCGCTGCCAGCCCCAGGCACCTTCCCACCATGTCCTGGAGCTTGGGGACATCGCAGAGCGAGAGGAGACCTCCCCCTGCCCTGGCAGCCCTGGGGGGTCCCGGTCCCACATCTCTCCTGGATTCTGCCGCCCCAGACTCACCTCCTACAAAGAAGTAGACGCTCTGGAGGGTCTCGCACTGGGAGCCCGACAACCAGTCGCTTTCAACGCCCGCAGAGTCAGAGTCATTTTGCAGCCAGCTCCAGAATCCCAAATTCAGTGAACGGTGGCTCTTGTACCTCTTGCGCTGGCGGCGAGACTTCCTCCTCCGAGGCTGCCGGGAGGCCACATAGATCCTGCCTGCCATGGCAGCGTCCAGCTGGCTGGGCACCCCCCGCCAGTCTTTGCTGATGGACCGCGGGCTGCTCACCCCAGCTGGCAGAGGCAGAGCATGAGTTAGAGGGGCACCAATGCACGGGGGTGAGCGGAGCCCAGCCCCACAGACAGCCTCCAGCACCTGCTCCAAGACCCGGGGGATGCTCCAAAGGGTCCCAGCCTGGATGGGATGTGTGACGGGGACACGGGCCAGGCAGAGCCGGGAGCAGCCCCTCGCCCCCACCTTGGCTGGGATCAGCCCTGTGCTGCTGAGCCCACTTCTCCTCCTCCCTATCTTTCATTTCTCTTGCCCAGGGCTGGGGTTTTCCTATGGCATCTCCAGCTCCAGTGGGAATAAACGGTCCCCAGCAGTGACGCTGCGGTGCAAGGTGGCTGGTGACGGGCTCAGTAGTGTGGGGCATAAGGGCTGCAGAGGGTGGGATGTGGGGTGCTGTGGCAGACGCGGCCATGGCCTGGGGGTTCCTGTGCACAGCCCAGGCTCCTGCCCGGCACGGCGGCTCATCCAGGCTGCCCGTGCTCCCAGGCATCGCACCCTCCTCCCCAGGTGCCTGCACCCCTCGTGCCCCATCGGTGCGGGCTATATTGGCACCCGCCAGCTCTTTCCCCCAGGCTGGCCCAGCCCTTACTCATCCTGCCGCCGAAGAGGATCTGGAAGATATCCTCCCAGCTGTCGCGGTTCATGAAGGCGTAGTGGTTGAACACAGCCGAGGGGGAGGACTTCTCACAGTCGGCCTGCGTGGGCTGGTGGGCGAAGTCATAGGACCAGTAGAGCTTGTCTAGGAGAGGATGCGCAGGGCGTTAGCAAGAGAATACACAGGGCATCAGTGGGGAACATGCACTCGAGGGGGAGCAGCAGCTAGAGGTGGTGGGGTGCTCAGACACCGTGTCCTGCCCATGGCCACTGGTGCCAGGCTGTGCCCGGGAGCAGGGGGCTGCACCCCTTACCCTTGAAGAAATAGACTCTCTCATTGCCGTGGTAGCTGTGTGCAGGGAGGGCGAAGGCTGCGTCGATGCTGTTCGGGATGCCTTCGAAGCCCTCGGAGATGTTGCGTGGGTACCCGGGGTCCAGGGCTCCATCGTCAAAGCGCCAGTACTGGCTGCCCTGGGGGGGTCGGGACAGAGAGGAGGTCAGGGGGCTGGGTGCAGCATCCCCCAGGCGCGGGTCTGCCGAGGGGAGCGAGCGGATGCTAGGAAGCCCCGTGGTGAGGCTGTGGCTGCCTGGGGCGCTGGACAGCCGCAGGGATTTGGGGATATCTGGCAGCCACTGTGTGCATGTGTGCATGGAGGGTGCCAGGGTGGGGACAGGGTGGGTTGGGGAGCCATGCTGGCTGCCCCCAGAGCACCCTCAGCCCTGCGGCCAGGCTCCTGCCCACCTTGAACAGGTAAGTCTTGCCCTGGCAGTTGATGCGGGTGAAGGCTGCATCGATGGGGCCCTCGATGCCCCAGACGTCACTGATGAGCTTGGGGTACCCAGGCCGCACACTCGTCTCGTCCAGCTCGTAGAAGTACTTCCCTGGGGAGAGAGGGGAGGTGGGAGCGGCAGGAGGGACTGCAGCCACCGGCGCAGGGTGACAGCGTGGCAGCGTCCCATGTGCCCAGGGAAAGGTCCCCGAGGTACCTCGGAAAGCATAAAGGGAACCATTCTTCAGGTCGGTGAAGGCGTCAAAAGGTTTCCTGCTGCAGAGCTCCTCAGTCTCCTCCACAGGGTCCCGCTCCCCGAACCCATCCGGTGTGGTGCTGGGCACCTCCTCCACGGGCATCTCTGTCAGTGCCTGCTCTGAGCCCGGCGTGGTCTCCAGCGTGGGCGGCTCCGGCGACAGGAACGTGGGCAGTTCTGTGGGGGCTGCCTCGGTGCCCTCTACCTTGCCGAGGTCGACCGTGAGGTTGTAGTCAAGGTAGTCGTCCTCTGGCAAGGCGAACACGTCTCCCCGGGTCACTGCGGGAGGGAGCAGGTTGGTCCCCGAGAGACCTGGGTGTCTTCCCACGGGGTCTGGGTGCGGGAGCCGCTTGCTCCCAGACAATAGGAATTTGCACGGACCCCCGGGGCCCCAATGCTGCAGGTGGCAGTGAGGCAGCTGCCAAAAATCCCTTGTGCTGCAGCACCCTGAGCACCAAACCCTGGCACTGACTTCACCCTGTGGACATGGGTGGGTGCAGAGCTGACCCAGCATGGACCCCTCCAAGCCCTCGTCGTGTCGGGCACCTGTGGCCACCCCGGCAGCCCCTGCCCTGGCTGGGAGGGTGGCCGCAGGGCCAGTACCTTTGGTTTTGCAGACGGTGGAGTAGTCGCTGCAGCAGCTCTGGTAGTACACACAGAGGGTGTCGCACTGGCACTTGTGCTGCGCGTCGAAGCCATTATCGCAGCGGCCCACGCAGGAGTCTGCAAGAGCCGACAGCGCAGGAGTAATGCGGGGTGGGCAGTGGGGCCAGCACCTCCCCCCCAGCCCCAGGTGTGAAAGCAAACATGGGCACAGCCCAGATGGGGGGACCCCCCATCCCAGAGCTACAGCGGCACCTCTTCCCACTCCCACCCAGGTCCCACTGGGACAGGAGCCACAGACCAGGCTGTGCTGGGGTCCCAGCTCAACGCTGGCAGTCCAGCTGTAGGATGGCCAGGGATTTGCCCAGGCACCACTGATGTCCGTGTGCTGCCTGCTTGCTTTCTCCCCATGCTGCAAGGTGTAGCCAACATGGCCAGTGGCCATGGCCACCACCTGGTCCCCTCCTCACCCTGCCCGGGCTCCCCAGACCCTCCATCAGCCCAGGAGCCGCACTCGCTCCATCCCCACCCTGGCTGCAAGCGGGAGGCACCCGGTGCCGGGCTGGCCGGCTCCGGCTCACCTTCAGCAGCACGGGCAGCGGCGAGCAGGGCCAGCACGAGAGCAGGGAAGAGCAGCCTCATCCTGGGCGGCCGGGAGCACAGCCCTCCTGCAACTGTGTGGGCTGGAGCGTGGCTGTGGCTGGGGCCCTGCCATCCACTGTTTGCTCAGCCTGCCCAGTGGGAGAAAACAAACAGGCCAAGGTCAGAGCAGAGGGGAAAGGGGCAGAGATGCCAGGGTGCGGGTTGTGCACTGGTTGAGAGCAGGGGAGACAGCAAGCCAGAGCCAGGAACCAGTTTTGAGGTCCTGCCATACTTATTTCATAGTGAATCTCATGGTATTAAAGCTCCCATCCTCCGTCTCAAGGGGCGGCTGTTTCCCGGTCTGGTCTCACCAAGACAAAAAGCCTAACAAGAGGGGACAAGGGTGCAGTGCTCAGAGGGCAAAGGGAAAAGCCCTGGGCTTATGTTTGACCAAAATGTCACCATTTTGGAGGGCTTGCTCTTGGGATTTCAGCTTTCTCAATGTCAGCAAGGCTGGGAGCAGCCCTGGAGAGTCCCAAGGCACGGCGGCTCGGGATGGGGCAGGTGCCACCGCTGTGCATGGGGACCAGGGGCCAGAGGTGAGCAGACGGGAGGGAGGGAGAGCGGGAACCCTCTGCACTTTCACTGCAGTAGGCAAACAAAAGCCTGTGTATTTTGCTCCCATCATTCAATTTCTGACCAATCTTTTTGGTTACTAATTAATGTTGACTCAGCTCTTTCAGCAGCCCCTGATAACTCCAGGATGTTTATTTAATCAGGGGCGAGGAGCAAACACACAGGAGGCTACAGAGATACTGCCTCTGGCTGCTTCCGCTACCGCGGCACTGCTGGGGCAAGAGCTCCGTGGGGTCTGTCCCCAGGAGCGGCG